CAAATGTCTACTGTGAAGGATATCATAAAGCCTTAATGCAGTCGAATGTAAAACAAAAAAGTTATGATTGATGAAAGTATAAATCAGTCAGATTTGATCCGAAGACAACAGGAGGGTTAATTAAAGATGAATTAACTTACTTAAATAATTGTCAGATAAGTTGCAACTTTTGTTCAGCAAGGTTGTAAGAAAAACCTTTGTCTGCTGCAAACAAAGACTGGAGATTCACTGTACAAACATAATGAAAATAGTTGGATACACTGGAGGGTGAACTTTCTATAGGGTTTTGTCTATTAAGTGACCTCATTGACATTTTCTGTTATATAACAGATATATATATATATATATCTCCCTTAAAGAACACAATGTTTCTGCACCCATTTATATGATTTTTAACTGCAGTTTTGAAAAGCGTGCTTTCAGAACTGAAAAGTTTATGAATGTATTTTTAGTAGGCCTACATGATTACACAATAGCTTTCAATACACGGGATTTTTTTATTGTGGTTAGTGTGACATGATTGACTTCATGAATCACACGTCATAGTAGGCTACCGTTCTGTATAATGCATTGCCTAGGGATGAAGACGTGTGTCATTTGTACTGGTCAGTTGGCAGCGACGTGCAGTCAGGGGAGGCAGGGGAGGCAGAGCCTCACCTGTCATACTACAATGTAACGGAAAAACAACTAAAGAAAAACTAAATAGTAATAATAATAAAATGTCTCCACTGATCTGTGTTGTAAATGTGATTTATGTATGATTCCAATCGCTTTTTATAGTTAAAATCAGCAAATTTGACGAGCTCCGCTCCAACTACGGGTAATGATGAGAAGTGAGGCAGGGACGAGCTCTGCCTCTCGTAAACCCACAGCCCACAGTAACTGTCTGGAGCGCGGGCACTAATTTAACGCGGGCACTTATTTTGTGAGCGCGCTCAAGCCAGTTACTGTGAGGTAAGGTGAGGCACAGATGAGCTCTGCCTCACCTCAGAATGCGTCACCCCACAGAAACTGGCTGGAAAGCGGGCCCTAAGCGCATGCCTGCACCATCTCACTGTATGTCACCAATGTAATGTTTGTAGATCCCTTTATTACATTTATCCTCGCCATCCATAGTCTCTAAATAACTTATTTCACGTATATATGATATTTAGGCTCGCCGTACAACGGCAATGAAAAAAGCACCAGGGGAGGCAGCCATAACCTCTGCCGCACTGAAGGGGGCGCGTGTGAGCCCACAGGTTCTTGTTGCTAATGTTATTCTACGCAGAGACCGTAGACGCAACAAACTAGACTTTTGAAACTTGAGGAAGATAAGGAGGACTTTTACAAAAAAGTAATAGAGATTGTTGTCCAGAAGGATAGCATGGACTTCATCTTCAAGTCAAGGTAAGACCCCAATTGTAATGAAAATGGGATCTTACTAAGAAAGAACAATCCAATATTTAGATTTTGGGTATCCTTTTGTTGAACGGTCTGTTTAAAATGAATCGAAGCATCAGACTAAAAAAGCTTTTGAAAATAACCGAATATTTCGATTATGGTCAAAATATGATATTTGTAAATCTGACTCTGAAAGAGTCAATGCCTCACCAGCCATGAACCTCACCGCACGTCACTGTCAGTTGGGTAACCTGCCTTTAACATCTTTATTGTTAGTGAAAATGAGAACTAAAAGATCTTCTCATATCATTTAGATTCCCTATTTGTGACCTATATCCGACCATTGTTTTTCCCAAGTTATGTGGGAAGTCTCTCCCTTGTTGACTCATTCACAGTTACCTACCTCAACAATAACTTTTTCACAGCAGACATTTTAACTTCTTGTTGAAGGAAAAGAAAAGCTCTTAATTATAACAATATCATTTTCTCTGTTTCATTCATGTGTCCAAGTAAGCCATGACAGTAAAGCAGCTAACTGTTATACAGGGCAAAAATACAAAAATATACTAAATAAACTGAAAAAGGCCAGTAAAAGTAATACGAATATTTTGTTTTGTTTTTCATTTGTATTTACTATTTTATATTTAGTTTAAACAATCAGCTACAGAAAAAGACTTCTGGTGTTTCACTTGTGTCCAGTCCATTCCTCCTCCTCTCTATAACTGCAAAACCACAGCAGTCCACCACCACACATGGAGACTTCCGCCTGTCCTCCCAATGCTTTATCATCACTGAACACAGTGTGTGGTGTGTGTGTGTGTGTGTGTGTGTGTGTGTGTGTGTGTGTGTGTGTGTGTGTGTGTGTGTGTGTGTGTGTGTGTGTGTGTGTGTGTGTGTGTGTGTGTGTGTGTGTGTGTGTGTGTGTGCGTGCGGGGGGGGTTGTGGCTTAGTAACATTTATGTAGTGTGGTTTCAACACGTTGAGTTTGTCAAGTCAAATAGCCCCCTACCACGACAATGGACAAAATAGATTGAATTTCACACTGAACAAGCCGTGAATGATCCCCTCCAAACCTCTTTAACATAATTGACACAGCATTTAAACAACAAAGAAATAAAATATCAGTATTCTCATACAGCACGTACGAAGGAGATGTTTGATAAAGTGAGGGAAAAGAAAGTATGTTCTACATGTTTTAGAGGTGAAAAAAAGAAGTAAGAAAAGTGATATTTCTAAATTAACTTACTATCATAACCCTGACTAGTAGGCTACATGACATGTGCAGTGTGTGCATTTCAGCTGTGTAGCTTTGTCTGAAATCCATGGCAGCTGCTGAGTGATAATCACCACTGCTAGCAATGATGTTAACGAGAGATAACTATGCTAGCTAGCTAGCTATCTCACAACATTATTGGTAGCGATAGCAAATCATTATAGACTGTGCTCTATTAACCCAACCTCATAAAAACACGAGAAACATGTACTTGCGTAGTGGTGTGTTGACCTGAACAACTGCAATCTTAGCTTGTCCTGGACGTAGTTTTGTTGTGAAGACCACCTTAACCGAGACCAAGTCATTGCTAAGACCGGAGTGCACACATGCACTGGCACACTCACACACACTCAGACTGAATAACAAATACTTTAGTGTACATATGCAAATATGCACTCTCCCACTACTCACGTGTCTGTATCAGCCGTACACACACATACACTGCAATCTTCAATCTTTGTTGGAAGCATGGTTGTTAAAAGATCCTCCCAACCAACCCCCTAAAACTGAAACATGAGTTGTGTGTTATGTTGGGCCCCATGGTAGCCATGGCTGCATGCTAACATGTTACAGTGAGATCCACGTAATAGTTAAGAGTTACTTTTATTTGTGGTTCTTCATTCACCCCCAGAAGACATAAAGGTGATAAGTGAAGGATATCTGTATAGCCCCTGAGTTGGTTTCTAGACAAAACCCTTGGAATATAAAAGGGTTCCCTGAAAAACCCAATGGTTGGGTTCTTGTGAGGACCCTTGGAAGGGGGAAAGGCTCCTGATTGAATCCCCAGTGAAACCTGTTTATGTTGGTTTCTAGGAAGGTAGAACACTCTGAAAGGCTTCCTGTTGACACCTTTATCAAAGTTCAGCCAAAAAAGCCTTATATGGTAATAGTTATCACATCTTATTGATGAGTGCATATCAAAATCCTCTGTACGTCCTCTGCACATCACAAGTCATCTTTAATCACCAGTTGCCAACAACAATAAAACAAACATTTGCTCAAAGACTCATCTGAGAAGTTTGAAAAAGCAAATAAGTGAGAAAGCATTAACCTGGCAGTCTTGCAGGAGGCTTTGTAAATGACTGCTCATTGTATGGTGAGTTTCAAAGCGCAGATACACTGAACAAAAATATAAACGCAACACTTTTGTTTTTGCTCCCATTTTTCATGAGGTGACCTCAAAGATCTAAAACATTTTCTATATACACAAAATAACCATTTCTCTCAAATATTGTTCACAAATCTGAAAAAATCTGTGATAGTGAGCACTTCTCCTTTGCCGAGATAATCCATCCCACCTCACAGGTGTGGCATATCAAGATGCTGATTAGACAGCATGATTATTGCACAGGTGTGCCTTAGGCTGGCCACAATAAAAGGCCACTCTGAAACGTGCATTTTTGCTTTATTGGGGGGGTCTGCGGGGGTCCGAAAACCAGTCAGTATCTGGTGTGAGGGGTAGGGTTAGGGGTAGGGTAATGTTGTGAATCGAGTAGCCTGTGTTCGTCGACCATAACATACGCCTGCCCATACCATAACCCCACCACCACCATGGGCCACTCGATTCACAACATTACCCTAACCTAACCCTCACACCAGATACTGACTGGTTTTCGGACCCCCCCAGACCCCCCCAATAAAGCAAAACTGCACGTTTCAGAGTGGCCTTTTATTGTGGCCAGCCTAAGGCACACCTGTGCAATAATCATGCTGTCTAATCAGCATCTTGATATGCCACACCTGTGAGGTGGGATGGATTATCTCGGCAAAGGAGAAGTGCTCACTATCACAGATTTTTTTCAGATTTGTGAACAATATTTGAGAGAAATGGTTATTTTGTGTATATAGAAAATGTTTTAGATCTTTGAGTTCATCTCATGAAAAATGGGAGCAAAAACAAAAGTGTTGCGTTTATATTTTTGTTCAGTGTATATTAGACTGTGGGTGAGAAAAACTGTGGTAGCAGGGTATAGCGGTCAAAGTACAGATGTGAAATTAGAAACTTTACTCCTCTGAGCTCAGCCTCCACATCAAACCCTGCTGTTTTAAAGTCAACTGATCAACTGTACCATCACACTGTATGGTTCAATAGTATACAACATGTTCCAAATGCAAGACTTAGCTGAAGAGAGCAAATTGTGCAAGTTTCTTAGAAACTTAACAGAAATAGCTACAGAGAGTAAGAGCAGCAAACCAAAAGTGTTAAAGAGCATATGACACGCAAGGCGAGAGACATTGAAGAAAAGGAAGTGTCAGCTGAGAGACGATAACTTTATTTGAAGGGAGTGCCCCACGCACTTACACACTCTCTTTCTGTCTTTTTCTTCCCTGTGTCATCTTCATTTCCTCCTTACATGAGCTTGCTTGAAGAGCAATATTCTTGATAGTTGACAGCAGGCGAGCAAACACAGTAGGGGAGAAAGCAGAGAAATCTATACTTGCAGTGGACAGAGGATTTTCCTCTTCTTAAAGGGTGAGACATCTATAAGCCAATTTAATATTATTGTTTGAAGAGTTTAATAAGGGGTTTTGGAGGAGGGTTTAAAAGTTTGTTGTGCTGCTGGATGGTTGACTAAGCTGAAGGGGAACATCTGGTGCACACTTTATACCAAGGTAATCTTCATTTAAAGTACTTCAACAGAATGAAAGAATATAACTTTTTTTTGAATTATTGATGTGTTGAAACTTACTTCTTGTGTAAACAAGAAGTAAGTTTCAACACATCAATAATTAAAAAAAAAAAAGTAGTAAGGCTATGTAGAAATCACAGTTCCCATAAACTGGTTGCATCGTGTCTTCTAACTGTAACTCCATGTCTGTTTTGGTCTATTTTCAGTACTTTTCGTCTCTCTGCCTTTCTGTTCCCAGTTAAACTAACCCTTACCCTGTCTCTTTTAGGATCCCTTCCTCACCACAACGTTTTAACCTTAAGCCCTAACGTCCCAGCTGGAGTGTGATCTGGTGGGATGGCAGAGGGCGATGTGGATCCGTACCCTCAGGTGTTTGTGGTTGACAGCCAAGCCAACTACGTCTCCATGCCTGGCGAGAAGAGGCCACGTTGGGTGAGATCAGGACAAAAGTTTCTTCTCCTGCTGGTAGGACTCGCCCTGTTGGGACTTGTTGTCGAGGGGTGTTTTATCTACAGTCTATACAAAAAAACCGAGGTGAGATTGATCTCTTTTTTATGTCTGTGTGGGTGAAGGGAGAGTCCAGAGTCTTGGAGCTTTGGGCTCTTGGAAAGTCCTATTGTTTAGAATTTCCCTCTTTTCCTTTACGTCATAACCAGACACACACTGTAGTGGATTAACACGTGTGCGTGAGCTGTCATTATTTCACCTTTTAATTTACTGGTCTGCAATGACAAATCTGTCAGATGGACTTGTTCTCTAGTTCTACTTCCCTTTTTTCTCTCTTAAGTGCAAACCAACAATATTGCTTCACTTTTCTAAACAGTTTCATAATGACACTTATTACACGCCTGCCTATATTATGTTGTGCACTTGTGCATGTTATGTAATATGCACTACAGTTTACAAATCTAACCTCTAAGACTGTACAATGTCAAAACTTAGATACCCAAGAGCAAAAAATGGCAGGTGACATTTTGCCTCTTTATCATGTTGTATTAAAATGGTATTCAAATACTCCAGCATTGACAAAACACAAAACTGGTCAAGTTACATTTAAACATGTATATATTACATTTAATTAAATGAAAAACGACCTCAATGTTTACTTCAAGATTTTGTTATGTTTTTTTGTGTAAATATGCCTTCTGTTGTCTGTACATTTCTATTAGTTTCTTTATTGCAAGACACTTCCTGTTCTTACACGCTTTTGAACTTTTGACATCTTAAAAACACACACTGATTTTGTTACACATTCTATATTTCTCAGCCCCTCCTCTTCCCCTTTCTGCAGGACTTGACCTACTGTAAGTCTCACCCGCTGTGCCAGAACCTGACCAATCCTCCAACATCTGGCGGGCAGGTAGGTGTGGGTGCTGAGTCACGGGTTACACTGTCGCACCGCCGGATGTGTGTCGGAGTTTTCTGCTTTAACACCTTTTTCCGTTTCAGGGTGGCACCATATTGAGCCAAGTGGGTTCCAAAGGTAATGAGTTATTCTCTGTTCTGTGATGATGATGAGCCACAAATATGTGATGTGTGATTTACTCCAGCCCATGCAAACCTCACGTGTCAATTCAGATATAAGGTTTTTCGACATTGTTTGATTGATCTGAACATGCGTTATCAAACAGATTCCAATGAGATTCCCACAGTACGACCAGATCTGGAAGACATCCAACAGAGACCCTTTGCTCAGCTTATAGGTAGGAACCCTCTGAACACTCAAACCAGGTGACTGTATCTTTTTATTTCAGCTATTCTCCTTAATTGTCTTTGATCATAACAACTATTTTGTATTTCCTTTCTCATCTTAACGCCAGGTTCAGACTCTTATATCGGAGAGAACCATGAGGTGCAGTGGGAAGATAAAAATGGCGAAACTGTAACCCACAACATGGGCTTTGAAAAAGGCCGGTTGATGGTCAAGGAGGATGGCTACTACTACATTTACTCTAAAGTGACATTAAATGTCGCAGAGGAGTGTGAGCTTATCCAGCACAAGATCATAAAAGCTACCAGTGCCTACGGCAAGGATATTGAACTTTTGAAATCCAAAAGGTAAGTCAGTGTGCCTCTCTTCCCTCCCTCTGATGCGGCACATGTGCTTACAATTGCCTTCTTGGGTTCAACCAGTGTGTACCTTTGCTTCTGTGTCTTTGAAGTTAGACAAAGGCAAAAACATCTTTTATATGAAGAGGTTAATTTTCTAAGATGTTGGGCCATTTTGCTTCAGTAACATGTCTTCTTCCATAGTGGAAAGAAAACATCGAAAATACAATTTATTATTTTTCTAATTATGTCAATTTGCGTCTGTAGGATTGACTTAAATATACTAAAAGTTTGCATTAGATAATGCCAAATTAGCATATTAAACTAAAGGAAAAAATAAAATGTCAGAAGTCTGCATTAATGCGATGTAAATAACTGGTTGAGTTTCATGATAGCATCTATTTCTTACATTCACACTCACTGGTAGTGTCTTCAAAGATTTATGGAAATACACAAAACATCTAAAAAACCTTTAAAGGCTATTATCTCTACATAACAAAAAAAGCCGGCCTGCATGCACCATCTTTTCAGTTGAATTCCTATCTATTTTATGAAGTTTTGTATAGAGGGGTTTGTTGAAATATCATTTACAGACTGATTTAGAGAAAATATTAATCTCAAATAATGTCTTTTGGGCTGTTGATCATGATTTCTGTTTCATGCATTCTCCTTTGACTCTAAAATCTAAAATGAAACAAGAATTTAAACCTGGCTTCATCCAATGTTTAGAAATCTGTCCCAGAAAGTGTTCACATTAGCCCCTGTTTAATTGGATAATGCCTAATATGCATACCTAAACATAACATTCCAGAAAATGTATTTATGAGATGTTGCTGTAATATAAGTAAATAAGTGCTGGTTTTATCGTGTTGCTTTATGTTTGTCTTCTGCAGTTACCGCTGCTTCAATCCTACACGCTCCCCGATTACTCACAAGGAGGATATCCGGAACAGTTTTCTGGCTGGGATCTTCCACCTGAAGAGCGGGGATACAATTTTCGTCACATTGGAAAATAGCCCTAAGATGTTTCCGAGACATACTGAATACCTCATGGGGGCATTTATGATATATCCAGGTGGATTGCTGCAGGAATAATATCCTCTGTCCCACTCTGTGAACAGATTCTATGTCTCTGTGTTATGAACGTACACCATATGTTGTGGTGAATGTTATGTATCTAATATATAGGCCTATATAATCTAAATTATACTATATGTAATTGAATCCCTTATGAAACAGCAACTAATGGTTTTGACATCATAAAAAAGTATCTGACATTCAGGTAATATAATCCTACTTGTTGATTTGTTTTTTGTTAATAAAATGCATTCATTCATTCAGGTTGTATCAGTTACTGATTAGGTTTTATGTTAGATAGATCAATGAGAAAAAACGTTTTAATAGTTATTGGTGCGGTAAAGTAAGAATAGATTTTATTTGATGCGACCTAATAGCTTGAGCAACCTGAGACAAATCACGCAGTTGCAGATGTATAGATGCAGAACACACACAGCGCCTGTATGAGTGAGGAGCAGGATGTGGTTGGGTAAGGATGCTCTGAGGAGAGGATGGAGAGGAAGGGTGGCTGAGGTGCAGAGGTTGGTGTGGCAGACTCAGCTCTTCTCACACTGTGCAGGGGAAAGTTTTACAGACATTGCAGAAGTGTCACATGGAAAAAAAGACATATGGACGTACAGAAAAGTTAAGTTCAGGAGTGTTCAGCAACCAATGAAGAAATTCCACTAAGGAACCAGGGTGTAAAGAATGTTCGGGATTGTGGGAAACAGTATTTCGATCTATCTGTCTGTACACACAAACTGGAAGATTGACATTAAAGTTGACTATGCAAGATACAAAGTGTTACAAACAGTAACAATGAATGATGACACAGGAAACCATGCAGACAGGTAGACAAATGCATGAGTGGAAAGACTGACCTCAGAAGCATCTGAGATATTTGGGTCACTTCCTGCTCAAAGATGCAGATGAATAAATTGTGTATGTGAGTGAGGTCAATACACAACAGTATAATACTTGTGCTGCGTGAGCATACAATCTATTTTCCATTGCTTGGAGTATCATTTCTCACGTGCTGTACTTATGTAGAATTTTGAGGTACTTGTAATTTACTTCATTGTTTCTGTCTTTGCCTTTCTTCATACCTCTACCCTAGTTCAGAAAAAACACTGTACATTTTGTTCTATTAGATTAATTTGACGGTTGTAGTTATTACTAACATTGAAGATTACAATTTTGAACATTGGATATATTAAGCTTAGAGAATAGAATGCATTATTATAGAATAAACTACCATAGCGGACAGACAAATGGTTTGCCTTACGGGAACACGCCAACAAAGACACATAAGAAGAAGAAAAATGTGGCTTTGCAAATGTTTCATGCACCTTTAACCATAGAAAATACTTCTTTAAAGATGGAAGGTGAAACGTTCGTACAAAAAGCAACTATAATGCCCTTCGTTGGGTTGTTGCGTTTCTAGTGGGGTTAACTCTACCTGTAGATCAACTGATTGGCAACAACTCTTGTTGAATTTGAATCAAGTCACTTCCAAACAAATCAGGCACCAACTTGCATAAAATCACAAATAAACCACAACTTTGGGCAGCAGTAGCTCAGTCTGTAGGGCACCGAAGGGATGCTGGTTCAAGTCTCGATTTGAACAAATACATAGTGTGGAGAGGAGTCAGTTCACCTCCTTGAGCAAGGCACCAAACCCCCAACTGCTGTAGGGTTGTAGGCATGTGTTCATGTATTTTGACCTACGTGTGTAATATATACTAACAGAGAGAAGAACTGAATTTACCCTTGCAGATTTGTAAAGTATTTCTTTCTTTTAACTTGGCCTCCCATCTGGTCACCTCCACTCGCCACTGAGACCGCATTATTATGGTCCTTCATAACATATACTTGCTCCCAGTTAAATACAGAATCAACTACAAATACTACGCACCACCTACAAAGACTAAACTACCTGGCTCCTTCCTCCTCCACCCACTCGCTGGCTCAGGTCTGGAGGCGCAAACACCCTAAAGACCACCAGGGCTAAGCTTCGGTACTGGGGTAACAGGGCCTTCTCTGTTGCCAGACAGTCCACCCCCCCTACCCTTCTGTAAACAAGCCCTCAAACCCCACTTATTCAAACTGGCTTTTTCCATTAAACCTCTTCTCCCAACAACATATCTGCCAGTTCTGATCACTTTACTCTATAGGTTCTTTGTATTTTCTCTAAACTAATCTTGTTTTTTCCCTAATGTATGTTTGTTGTATGGAATATTTTTGTAAACTGACTTTCAGTATTAAGAGAAATATAATTATTATCAACCTAATGGATGTACATTTAAAAGTCTCTCTCTTTAGCGCTCATTTGGACTTTACCAGCTCCTGAAAATAAATGTTGGGTCTTAAGATGCTTAATGCTCTGCAATGCTCACCAGCTAACTATAAAGCTTGAAAGCAGAGCTGCAGATTTGAATACAAATAATTTAGCGCAATGGTGTTGCCAAAGATTGACAGGGTTTGCACACATCGGCGATCAACACAGAGTTTTGTGGACATTTCAGCATTTGATTTTGAAAATACAAAATTGATTACAACCACTTCAAGTAAAGTAGCTATTGAGAAGTAATATTTTATTTTAGACGCAATAATTGGAGCATCCCCTTTGCTTCTTGTGTGAGTGTGACTTATATATCATAATAGCAGGGAATATTTGTTACATCTTGTGTCAATATCAGACAGGAGGTGTCATTTAGGTTTGTTGACTGCCCTGTATAGAGGTTTTTTTCAAACCACACTGTTTGGTAAATAAACAGGAAGTGATGTACATCCAGTTCTCGGCATAGGCTGCGTAACAGTAGGGAACTTTCCCTCACACAGGAGCGTTTCATTTATTCCGCTTGAAACGTTGACGCAATCACTTTCACACTGCTTTTTTTTTCAGGGCAAAATATCCAAGTTTAATATGGATACATTGAAATCAATTCAACAATGTGCAAATTGTCCATAGGACTTACATGTCTTTCAAAAACAAAACATTTTCTTATTCATGAGTACACATATTAAAGATACTTTAGTAATGTGGTCATGATTTCATCACAGAGACACTTCTCATAGGACCTCCACTTAACCTCACTAGATCTAAACGAGATCCCTGAGGAGCTTGTTGGGGTTTCCGAGCAGAATTATCATCTTGCATTTTATTATAACACTCAACTTTATGCACTGAGTAATTTATATATGAAAAAAACAGAGCAAAACAGAAGTAATATAACCCAATATAGGCTTATTAAACTAGCAGTGTATTGTACATCGACACTAATGTAGTGATATCTACTTCATAATACATTTCTATTAAAACAAAAAGTATAAATATAGATACATAAATAGTTTCATCATCAAATAAATATATCATATACATATTAATACAAAATTAGGCAATTGTGTTTTCCAGATGCAGTTTGCATAAAAAAATGCAACTTCTCCTTAAAATCCTGCTTAGCTTCATGGCCTTAGTTTGCAAAAATCTGGATAAAGCTTTGAAATGAGCACCGGAGAAGGCCCATTTTCATTTAGTTGGACACTTAGAAAACACAGTTATGACCCAAAGTCACACACGTGCAGGCAGATCGGGGTCTACATTAGTCCACGAGGAACATCCCAAGTCCTGAGGTGTTCAGCTCCAGCCTCCAGTTCTGCAGTCCCTCCTTTGGTACGGTCATCTGAGTGAACAGTTTCTGCCCGTCCAATCGGCTCACTGTCCAGCACTTCCTGCTTACAGGCGTTGTATCCGCCAGAGCCGGAAGCTCCACCTCGCAGGTGAGTTTATCGCCCAACCTCACACTGAGGAGTCCCGCGCTACATTGGTAGGTGCAGGTGAGGTTGAGATTGATGTATATGAAGTAGTACCCCACCTGTTTGGCCTTCAACGAATGCGTACCTTCCTCAAACTGGAAGTTGCTTCCCACGGACAGCCCAGCACCATATTCAATTTGAGACAATTCCATGGTGGAGTTCTGCAGCTTGCCTATAGGAGGAGACAAATACAACTCATTTAGATGATGTTTACAAAGGGCAACAACAGGCTTCATAACACTGTAGCATTATTTTCTGGTGTTTTTTTTAGTAAAGACTGACATGATTTTGAAAAGCTAAGAAATCATCTGTGAACTATTTTTTGTGTGATTTAGTGATGCAAATAAACGATATTTAAAGTTTGGATATTACACTGTCATGAAGAGGAGAACATGTATTTAGGATATGGCTTTCATTTAAGAATTAATCATCATTATGCCTACTCAGAATTTTTTTTGTATGAGTGTATGAATCTGTTCCATTATGTACGAGACATTAAATACATTTGACTTACTTGAGACAGCTTCCAGATAGGCAAAGTTCTGCATCTGTTGACAAAATAAAATAAATATTGATTAAAATGTGCATAGGACATAAGTCAAACTCCAAAAAAGAAGGACACAATAGGTAACTTTTACATATCATGAGCAGAAGTATTTTGTTTACCTTGTATGCTGAGTCAGGTGTGTCTCCTGTCAGCCTTGATGTCCCGGGATCAGATGAAGGACGCGTGGTCTCCAGCTCGGACCGCAGCTCCATCACCACCATCACTCCGCCGGCGGCCAGAGCTGCCACCGCCACAAGCAGAAACATGGTGGACACGACGAGGAAAACGTCCAGGCAGCTTCCACGGCGGCGGCCGCTCTTCTGAAGAGACTCAACGTCCATTGCTTTATCTTGGTGTCTCTTTAGTCTGTTTTAGGATGCTTGAGCTTCAGGGTCCACAGCGTCCGGTTAACTTAGAGAATAAAAGGGTCCAGGGACTCGATGGTTTACTGCCAAAAAGATAGTCCTCTTGATATCCAGAGTTCACTCGGCGTCTTGATGTGATAGCTGTGAGCATGCTTTTTATACTGGACTCATAAACTCATGTGCAGTTTCATACACAGAGGAAAAACGCGGAAGTCATGGGTTTCCCTCTCGGCTCATCACACACACGCCCCCTCCTGAGCAGCGTGTAGTTGAAGTGAGAAAACGAGACTTTCCGCGGCTCTCCCTGATTGAGCAAGGGCTGCCCAGAGTAGCGCGCGCGGTGGAAAACGAAAGGGAAGGAAACCTGCTCATCCTCCAGTCTCACTACACATACTCTACATTCCGACACAGTCAAACACAGGCTTTCACTCTCAACGTTCAAACTCACAGCGCTGGCGAAAGTGGCACAATGAAGATAATGCAAACATAATGGGAATTTGGCCTTGAAAGCCTAAATGGAAAAGTATTTGGGGCAAAGGGAATGGTGTGTGT